TAGCAATTATAAATCATTATCTTTGCAAGTTAATTTTAATTTCAGTAATCATAGAAAATAATTAAAATATAATCTAGTAGCATTATAGACAATAGCTGTGTTATTACTTAACTGCTTCAAAATAACAAAGATGTATTTTGTTAAATTCAAGTTGACAACTAAACACAGGATTCAGACAGTGTAAAGAAACAGAAAATTATGTTTGCGGTTTTTGGCAAGCAAGACCTCATCATCAAGCCAAAAATAATAAGGCTTTTATAACACTGGCAATGCTGTTATGTCTGTAGGATCAGGTTGTGGGTCATGAGAGAAGGTATTAAATTGTAGTAGACAGACATATCAAAGTGAATACATGACCCACCAGTAGTCTAGAATGATCAATGGTCAATATGTAATGTTTTTACTGGTCTAATATTGGTTAGTAACCATGCATTGCATTGCAAACAACATAAAGGACAAGAAATATAACTCTGAAATTGGTGTAAATAGATACAAGAAGTCTTTGTAATCACCTTCACAACTAGCTTCTCATAGATGAAGGGTGGGAGTGTAATGCTTCTGTGGTCAATGATCAGGAAAAGAAAATGACTGTATGAAACGATTTTCCTTATTTTCTGATCATATATGACAGCATTAACCAATGCAGTATACAAACTGGGCAAATTGATATTAAAAAACCCCAAAGATTACTAAGGTGCACAAACATAATATTTTCAAAAAGCAAACTAAGTACTCAATATGACATCCACATAATATCTGCTCAGTAAAATGACTGGACCCGAGAGGCTGATGGTCAGCAACCTCAATAGTATTAAATTACAGGAACAATTACTGATAAATATAGTACAAGGTAGGTAATAAATTCATGATAACCAGAGTTATAAAGGAACACGTCTTCATGTTTGATATTCGTATACCTAGACTAATACAATACAAGCTCCTGAAAGTAACATCTTACTTGCAGGTTTCTTACTATAGTGAACTACTAACAAGTCGCCTGTTGTGTGTAGTAAATAAAACAATCAAAAAGATAAAAATGCTGTAAATGTCGGGTGTTTTTTTTTTTTAACCTAGCAATGCTCCTGCCCTTGGCAGCTAAAGCTTTGAAACTTACAAACACCCCCAGCATAAATATTGCAACAGAGTGAATGTGATTCTAGAAGAGTAAACTTTATGAAATTATAATATTCCCCCTTGAAAAAAACAGAGATCTACTGAAGCTTAACTGCTTGAGATTCACAAGCATGCCATCACTGGAATTAAACGGATTGCCAAACACTAGGTCCCCAATGTCACAATCTCCATTGTGACATGTGGAAGGCCAGGTGTGGTTATTTTCCTGGTGACTTCAGGGGGATTTGAACTCTGGACTATTGCTGCTTTGATCCCTCTCTATTTCTTCTGAGCCACCCATATATCCATGTTTTATTCTATGTCCATCCTTGCCTTGTCTCCAGCACTGGGGGCTGAACTTTACCTGTGGCTGCTCATGTCTATCTAGCACACCTAAATCAGATAATTATTAGCTGGATATATAAGCACTGCCTCACCCTGAGAACTTTGTCAGTTCATTAACTTTGGTTCTGCTGTTTGGTTCATGATATTGGATGTCTTGATCCAGTAATTTTCAGACTGATTCCGACTTCCAACCTTGGCTTATTTCCTCGATTTACTCTGACCTCAGGCTTCCCCTAACTTTGGCTTTCCACAACTATTCTTCTGGCAATCCTTGCCTGTACTGCGACTTGGAGCACTATTCCCTCACAGACTCACAGCCCAAGTGGCTTCTTGCCTGGTCACCTTGGTCTGTGTTTATTTGCAAGGGTGGGTGTATAACTCCACCAGACTCCACACCAGGTAAGATCCTGACACCCAAGATGTTAACTAGCAGAATTCAAAATATAATACACAGAAAGGATGTCAATGGAGCAGATATATAGGTGCAGTCTAAAATCTCTCAACTATACAAAATATAATGTACAGAAAAAACATAAAACAAAACATAGTGTAATATTGTTATAAAACACAGTATTCTGTGCGCAGCAATCTTTTTCACTCACAAGATATGGACGGTATAAGCGCTCTTAGGGTGCCTCCCCCAATGTAATGGGGGGCTATCTGGTACTTCTTATCACCTCTGGATCCTTATTCCACCAAAAGACATCCACAGGTCAGGTTTCAATAAAAAAAATAAATGTATTCAATAAAAAGTGTAGTCACCAATTCAGTGTCTTTAAATAGGGCTAATCCCTAGAGTCCATTGGTGGATCCAGTGGGTGTGTAAATCCTCTTCATTCTTGATTGGAGGAATAATCCTCCTGTATCAGCTGTCTTTTGTTTTCCAATTTCTGTGGCTTGTAATTCGTGCCCTTTTTGGCAAATACCGGAAGTGATCATTTTTGCCGAAACCGGAAGTGACGTCACGGGAACGTCCACGTTCCAACAATGGCATCTCCATGACAACCAGACGTAATCAGCCCATTCAGAGATCGTATGAATCAAGCAGAACTAATTGAAGCCCCACATTCTACTAAAGAAGAAAGTGTTAATCATACAAAAGATTTTAACACCTTTATTAATTATCTACATATATACAAAATGCTATCCTCATTTATCACTAGTGATGTACCGAACGGTTCACCGGCGAACGGTTCCTGGCGAACATAGCATGTTCGCGTTCGCCACGGCGGGCGAACATATGCGCGGTTCGACCCGCCCCCTATTCGTCATCATTGAGTAAACTTTGACCCTGTACCTCACAGTCAGCAGACACATTCCAGCCAATTAGCAGCACACTCTCCCTAGCAGACCCTCCCACCTCCTGGAAGGCATCCATTTTAGATTCATTCTCAAGCTGCATGCTTAGTAAGAAGAGGGAAAGTGTAGCTGCTGTTCATAAGATAGGGAAAAGCATAGCTAGGTTAGGGTTAGGGTATGCTTTTTTTTATTTTATTTTTCTATGTAATGTAATTGCACTTAGTTGTCTGCCACTGCTGCCAGCTTCTGTGTCAGGCTCACAGTGCATACTGTGCCCATTTCCCCAGTCAGTGCCACCACTTATATCTGGTGTCACAATAGCTTGGATTTAAAACAAAAACCTTTTTTCACTGTTATAGATTGAATAGCAGTCAGTTGTCTGCCACTGCTGCCAGCTTCTGTGTCAGGCTCACAGTGTATACTGTGCCCATTTCCCCAGTCAGTGCCACCACTTAGATCTGGTGACACAAAGCTTGGATTTAAAAACAAAAAACACTTTTTTCACTGTTATAGATTGAAT